TGTCCGTGCCCTATCAGAAAACACGGTAGTGTCTCGCGCTAAGACCAGCGATATCGAAGCGCGAGATTACCGTATATCTTTACATGAGCTATTAAAAATAATCAAATTTACTTATTTGACTATTTTTAATAGAAAAGACCAGTTTTTTTGCTGGTTTTTTCCGGAAAATACCGATTTTTACCACTGGCATGGACTTTATTCAAAAAATGTGGACTTTTGCCAACCCTGCAGTAAAGCGAACACATTAAACAATTTTTAGCAATTTTCAGGTAAAAATAATATGACAACTAATAACAATATATAATAAGATACATCTAACAGTAACTATTGTCTGACAATTCATTACATATTAGCATATCTGTAAAAAGATATCGAGTACATACCATTATATCCCATGGTTTCATTATACTCCAGGTTCTCCTAATAAAGAAGGGCTACAAGCCTAAAACAAATCATTTAATATAAATTTTGACTTACATAAGAAAATAAATAATAATATAAAACATACGTTTTGACCAATTCAAATCGGGCCATTCTCAATGTTGACAAAAAATAATTATTGTAAAAATTAGAAATTATAATATTCGTTAACATAATTAATAAATCCTATCTTAAGCTGTTCAACAAAAACGCAATCTAGGCCATGTTCAATTAGATAAATAAGATTCATAAAAGCGCCGAATATACGTCATCTTGTAAAATATCTTCCTATGATCGTTGAGAGATATATTAAATATTTAATATTCATTAAATCACTTAAAATATATGACTAGACAATCAAATTGTAGAGATCTATTGAATATTTAACATTACACAGTACTAACCAAATAGTACATTAAATTACTAAAATGTATATAGAAGATAGTAACAAAAAGAAATTATTCTGAATTAGACTAATGAATTATAAAATGTATAAATACCTTAGTTAATGAGGAAAAATAAAAATTAAAAAATTTTTTTTAAATCAGGCTGAGAGTTTTAACAATTCTAGAGAAAAAAAAATCTGCGTTCTTATCTTTCTCTTACGTTTGAACATGACAATTGAAATCGTGAACAATACTCACGATGTGTTTCGTTCTTTGCGATTTGATCGTTCGCTGAGAATTCAATCGCGATACTTTCTGGGGGTGGTCAACAACGAGATACAATTATACACGGAACAGTAACGATTATTTCATTCGGCGCTTGGTGAAAGGTTAACGCTTCCCTGAGCATCATACTGAAAATAAAACGCAGTTTCGCGTACAACAAGCTTTGTTCGCTGTAGATTGCAGTATAGGCTACGCAATTGAGATTTACGGTTGTTTTACAATATGTGAAAAGCAGCTAAGGCATTTGTTCCACTTTTACGTAATATATGGTGCTCTCTGAAGTCTGATGGTATACTATATCAGCTGACAGAGAGAAAGAATCTTTCTCGACGTTACTTCCGACTATACGAATATACAATGCCGTTCACGCTTTATGCTCTAAAAGTTTCGACATCCGCGTAGAGCATGATAAATCTGCGCACGATCGGGAACGTGACGAATCCGCGATTCCGGAAGAAAGGCGTAAGAAAGTGTACCTAATATGTATACGCATCGTTTGTAAACCATCACTTTGGATCTCTCGAAAAGCTCTGAGAAGATATACAAAAAATCAGATGATATAAATAAAACAAAAATAGTGAACGTATTTTTTTCAAATTGTCGATAATATCGAATTCCAAGGATTACCTAAAAATAAAACTTACGAGAGAGAGAGAGAGAGAGAGAGAGAGAGAGAGAGGGGGGGGGGGGGGAGTAATTGCTTCGTAAAATCTTTTTACTGAAACGGAGGGATTTGTGAATAACATCTGTTAGTATTTATATGTAGTAATGTCTACTTAATAATATTTGATTTTACCGATTTGTATTCTATTCTATTCGCTGTAATGACGCGTATAGCACAGCGATATTTAACTCGGACAGCATCACGCGTTATAGTTATAGACCGGTAATTGTCGTGTGCGCAAGGCCGGTCTCTGACCCACATACGGCTGATACGGTTGATTGACAAAACCGCCGAATGCTCCTTGATATTCATTGATAAAAAACGATATTTATGTGTGCGTGTGATTCCAAGTCATTAACAGAGGAAGTTTATTAATAATTTCAGAGGGGGTAAAATTGTAAAAAATTTTTTTTAGAGAGAAATTGCAAGATCTGTTATATATAGGTATATGTTTTTACTTCCATGCATGACGTACGACTTTTCCACAATCCGATCGATTCATCCGCGATTTGCGAAAATATTGATTTGTGAAAATGATCAATAATGTTTCTTGTCTTCTTCGCGTTATCTATATATGCATCGTGTGCGTCGTGCAACGTAAACGGTTGGAAAACGGCCTCGAAACGCGAATCGCAACGGACACGTTGTCGCGCGTGTCGCGTGTTATCTACTTTGCTTGGCCGTGTATATACATTATACAGCACCAGCAGTAGCAACAGTAGTAGCAGGATAGTCGAGGAAGTGGCGGTATCTCGCCACATCCTACCTCGTCCTGTTCCCGTTTGCCAACGGAGGGAGTATTGCAAACTGCTTCTCAGTTCAGTGAAAGCGACAGCCACCAAGCGAGCGAGTCTTCCGCGCCGCAGATCGCGAATTAGGAATTTAAGATTGAATATCGCAGACATTTAATTACATCGCGCGTAAACCTGTGCGTTACCCTACTCTACTCCGTTTCCAATCGGTTGTTATCAACCTGCATTATTTTATCATTATTTTACGTGATTCCTGATTATGGCGAGAGAAAAAATTCCGGTGCTATAAAAATGATAACTTAGCGAGAAGAAGCTCTTCAGTTCGCGATCATGTGGGACTCCCGCGAAAATTCCTTCTCTAAGACTGGTAGGACGAGATGGTCCTACGAGACTTACTCTTACTCATCCGCGCGCGAGAATCAGGCACAGAATCGAGACATTCAAGACACATTCGCCAGGATGCGCCCTTCCATAACGGTGCAACAAGATCCCGCGTCGCAGCAGCGTGTGAATTCTGTGAATGTACAACAACGTTCGAACTATCGCCAGCAACGGTCTTCTTGGCAACAGGATAATCGTTCGTGGTACACAATGCGCATTGCGCGTCAATTTTCTCCTTCGTTCTTCGCCTTCTTGCCTCACGTTATCGCAATATTCCCAAAGTTGTTTCTCGTTCGTTTCTTTATAAACGATTAATTCCAAGGATAATCCAAAGTTTCCATATCTGGACAATGTTGGGTGTGCTTTCCACATGTTGATGGCACAAGTCGAGAGACTGCACAAGTGTCTTTCCGAGTGTCTTTCTGTCTTAGTTACTTATTCAATGTCAAGAAAGATAGAACGATGTCACTAAATGGAAAGCATCCTTTTTTATATATTTGTTTTATACACTTATGTTCACTCCGGTTCTGATTTGATGTATCCGTAGCTGTGCGTCGTTCGGTGGAATGGTTATGAAGCGGCTGTCAGAAATGTAATAAAGTCGTAAATGGTAAATAAATCGGTGAATCTATATTTCGTCGATTTGTTGTTGTTCGCTTTGTCACTCGGATTACGCGACTTTCTCGTATATATGAGCAGAGGGAAAAAAATGATAACGGCGTGAGATATGTGCGCCACATGTACCACCCACGATTCAGTCCGGTGCAACATTTATTTCCTTAGCTCTTTAGATAACAACTGCTTTAATTTATGCAAATATACCTACTTTCTTTACATTCCAATCTTTAATTTTTTTACCCTTATCTAACTAATGAAATTAATTGAAAAAATATCGTTGACAACTTGACACTTTTTAACTGGATAAAACGATTCTCGTTCTCTCTCCTCCTCGAGATAACGTAAGACGAAGAGAACAAAATTTGAGAGAATAATTGCGAATGAAAAACCAAAGAAAACCAAAAGAATTAATTGATTAAAAGGCAAAAAAATCGATTAATAAGTATTACTAAAGTAAAACTAGTTTTGTGGCTCTACGGAACTCTACGAATAAATCATACCAAATCTTAAATAAATTACTTGTACGAACTTCTGCGGTTGTTAGTGCGTAAATAATAGATTTATATGGCGATGAGATATATTTGTAAATAATTGGGATGTTATACTTATAACTACCTATATTATTTGCGCATTAATAACCACATAGAGTCTCATATAGGCAATTTACTTATATTTGGCGAAAACCGATGTATTATCGTTTACAGTGAAGTGAGCATATCATCCGCCCGCGCGTCGGTGATGGTGTACGACGACGTGAACAAGAAATGGATACCGAGTGGCAGCTCGTCCGGCCTGTCCAAGGTTCAGCTCTATCACCATCAAGTGAACAATACGTTTCGCGTAGTCGGCAGGAAGCTGCAGGACCACGAAATTGTCATCAACTGTGCGATTCTAAAGGGACTCAAGTACAATCAAGCCACGGTCACGTTTCATCAGTGGCGAGATAACAAGCAAGTCTACGGGCTCAATTTTTCCAGTAAAGATGACGCCGATGCCTTCGCTCGGGCAATGCTCCAGGCACTCGATGTAATTTATTATATTTCTTTTGTCTTATAGTTTTATTAGAATTAACTCTGACTTACCACCCCGGATTTCACTATCTATTCTAGTCTTCTGGATCTGTAGTTTTAACATCGTTAACCTATCGTGAAGTTATTATTACGGCAATTTAAGATTGGGAGCGGCCAAACTTTCTGACAAACATTCAACTTGGATGCTATTAACCAGAAAGACAAAAAAACACACTTAGGGGTAAAAAACGTTTGCTATCGTGGAACATCGATTTCAGTTACGGCAATTACAATTTGTTAGGCGTTGTTATAATTGGATATATTATCGTTAATTAACTTCTAATTACACATTACGTCTTGTTGCGATGTTGCGTAGGTGCTGAGTAATGGTAGCAACATATCAAGGAGTCTTGCTCCGACAACCAACACGACTACTCAACAGCAAACCGCCTATCAACAGCAGCAGCAGCAGCAGCAGCAGCAACAGCAGCAACAGCAACAGCAACAGCAGCAACAACAGCAACAGCAGAGCCAGGCAACCGTTCAGTATGAGGAAGATATGGGATACAGGTATGTCTCTTTTATTTTCTTCTTGTTTCTTTTACATTTTCAAACGATTTACAATGTAACTATTATCTTATTACTGTAATTACTTTCTGTCACGAAATATAATATACGTACAGTGTACACAACCAATCCAGTCAACATCACGTTTTCGAACGAAATGCAAGCAATGTCGTTTCTTTTATTTGTAAAATGTTTTCTTTACGATAAATACAACAAATCAGTCTGGAGACATCATTACATGAGGCAGCTTTTGGTATACATGACGTGATCGTTATACAGGACGACATATGTATACCGTATATATGTATAAGCGCGAAAAGCTTGTAAGGTGGTAATTTACTTTATGGACATAGACCCATTTCAATTTCCCTATCGTTCACCTAAAACGAGTCACACATCTGTCCTGACTGGTTACAGTCAAGGTCGTAACGCGCGGATTTCCTTGTCCCTGAGCCATCTGCCTACAGGAGGCCAGACGGCCCTGCCCGTGGGCTCCGCCACCACAACCCCCGAACACCACGTGACCGTTAGTGGTGCTGTTGGCACTGTTATTCAAATGGGCTGTGCGCGTGGCTCATCGGGCGATGGATACACGAGGTGATCTTCCCGTTCTTTTAACCCGTAATAATCTGAATTTCTTAATTAACTACCATCAGAATACCTTTTACGCAATATTATACGTTATTAAATAACGCAGAAAAGAGAGAGAATTTTTTCTAAAATACGCCGACAAGTTATTGATTTAATATTGTTATACCATATGAGACTAGCTACATATAGGTTAATATGGGTTAAAGACTATCTAGGATCTCCTTATTCTTTGTAGTAGAGACTTCGGGCATTAACCACGTTAGAATAATCGTTCTACTTCTTTCCTCCTTGCATCTTTTTTTTTACCTTCCTCTGTGTTGTATACTGATCTACATGCGGAATTTCAGTTACTATGAAAACGAGAATCGGCGAAACGATATTTACAAGATGTCGAAAGTAAAATTGCAGAGACTAAGCGGGAGAATTCGCTCCGTCTATTGCGCCTCTCAAAATAACTCCCTGTGTCTCTCAAAATAACTCGAATACATTGCACGACTGAGTTTGATATTTTTTCCTCTAATTTTTTGTGCACACTTCTTACAAATTCAAGATATATTCGATAAATTCAATTTATCAAAACGCGGTTGTTGTCGTATAGGTCTAGTATACAAACTTGTCAGGATAAGATAACATGTTGTACTTGTACACATACATCTACATTAGCTTGCTCTGTATGATGAAAATATATATAAAGAAGATTAACATCTTCTTTAGTTCTTTATGTTTATGGTTTGTACAAATTAATATTAATATATGTCTTAACAATAGACTGTGATGTAGGGTGAGAATATTCACCTATCGTTGAAATATATTTATAGCGAAATAGAAAATATAATCTTTGTAGCACAGTATTATTTAGCATGTTAGTGTGTTAACACATTTAAATTTATCCCATGCGTTTATATATATAATTTTTTCTCTTTATATCAGTGTTGGGAAATATTTACCAAGTCAGTTAAAATGAATTTTTAATAACGATGTATAGAAGAGATATATAAGTAATCTATATGTCTATTATATTAGTTGGCTGGCCCTACTCTACGCTTTATATTATATTAACATGCATTGTGCATTAATGAAAAATCATTTTGTAACTAATTCCAAATTCAATCTGCGCAGAACCATGACTAGAGAAGACGTGGCAATAATCCAGGAACGCAGAATGTCTCAGCAAAGTCAAGGTATTATATTTACATTTTTTAGCATAATAAAGCTTATACATTATGTATAATAAGAATATTATATCTAAATGTAATTTTATAACAAGCGTACTTGTAAAAAAATTGCATAAATGCATTTAAATTACAGGAATCCAATTCTAAAGGAAGTGTCAAAATTGTATACATATATTATATCCATTTGCTGTATATATATATATATATATATAT